AAAAAAAAAAAAAAAAAAAAAAAAAATTTAAGTTAACTCAATTACGTGAAAACAATTAATTCTGTATTTACGTTATTCAGTAATTGATGTATTGTTGTACTTGTAAAGTCATCGAATGAATTAACATAACAAACGAAAGACATTAGCAACAATGAGATCACATTGCAAATGATTTAAACATTAACACAAGATATTAGCTGCGTTCAAAATTCAATCGAAAAAAGTGTATGTAGCGCATAAGGAGGTTGTGATAATAGATAAATAAAAACGAACGTAAAAAAAGTAAACGAAAAAAACTGTTTCCATTTTTATAATTATAAAGAGACAGCGATCGACTTACTTTGTCGACATTTTCACGAGTTTTGGCTGATGTTTCTACATACGGCACCTGCCACATTTGAGCTCTGGTCTGACACTCGTTAAGGGCTACTTTGCGCCGGTCATTCAAATCGCATTTGTTACCAACCAGAAGAAAAGGTATACTTTCGTCATTTTTTACGCGCAATATTTGTTCCCTGATAAGAAAAGAAGGAAATACGTAAGTAATTAAAAAATGAATATAAAAAATTATTTTTCTAGAGAAACGATTTAAAAATTTGCAATTATTTTCTGTAAACATTACAGGCTGATGCACACTTATAAATAACTGCATTACTACTATATATATATATATATATATATATATATATATATTGGCGCCAAACGAGGACGACAATAAACCCCAATTTAAGAATAGAGCTAAAAAAAAAAAAAAAAAAAAACACGATAACTAAAATATTCCATACACGCTAAGGCAATATAAAAGACGGCATAACTGCACCGAAAGTAACGTTACACATGCGATGAATTGCGTGAACCTTAAGCATTAAAATCGCTCGAGTTAAAAGAAAATGCATTGGTTGCATAATACACAAGATATATAGTGGAAAAACACTTACTCGCGGCACTGCTTGATGTTGGGTATATACCAATTTCGCCGGAAACGAGTCCAAGCATTATTACAATTTTTGTTATAAAGCAACTTTATTCAGAATCGTTTTTCACATATATTACATTTTTAAATACATTTTCCGCAGATTTTTTCCGTTCCATTTATCATATACGGCCTTATTTGATGGCGAATTTACTTCTCATTTATACGGCACCTGGTTTCAGTTGGGAGCAATTGCCCATCGACCGTTATGTCTGTGCCAAGTGTATAACAAGGCAGCGAGCTCCCAATAATATGTTCCCCACACTTTAGTCAATTTGATTTATATCCGCTAAAATACGTATAGTACATACGGATATTTGAAAGTAAGAGGTGATGTGGGCAGGAAAAGAAATGAGTACTTGTATACATTTCACAATTTTATTGTGAACCAATAGATATATGTTTCTAAATCAATAGATAAATTATTCGAATTTTTCAGAATATTCGACAACAAAAACATAAATGAGTCAAATTGAATAAATTTGCCGTCAGCGCTTATTTACCTCATACACCCAGCACATCGATTTTGGTATGAGTGATTAGCTCAACCTTTCCAAACTAATTCCGTAAGTTGAAGTAGTTGAAATAGTAATTTTGCCTTTCAAGCCTAGTTTAGAAAAAGCAAACATTTGTCTTGTAACAGAATTGGATTAAATCGATTCAATAAATTCTCTTACAACTGAAAATACGTGATACTGAAGTAAGTATATGTGATAGTGCGTTACTACTTGCCTCATAAATGTTCTACTCCATGCGCTTTAGTAGAACGATATAACTGCTTGCGTAAACAATTAATAAAATAATTGAATAATTTAGTAGTAGTAGTAGTAGTAGTAGTAGTAGCGCGAGAATGCAGAGAGAAATAGGGAGAAATTCAAATTGAATAAAAAAGTTAGCGGACCCTCAAGCACCAAACGTGCACGTGTATCAATCAACAACTGATAGGATTAGTAATACATCTCCTAGCGGATTAACTAACACTCATCGAACAATCATCAATTAGGTATTTCATCTCGATCCTTCTTCTGAATTCTTTATCTTTGAAGAGTGTATATGTATGAGTATAAAATTGATTTGCCCGTTAAATTAAAATACTTTTATGATGGGATTATTTGATCAAAGCGTTTGCGATAGCCAGACGTAAGCTTCAGAAACCCCATAAAGTATACAACTTCTTGGCTAGTTTCACATCTTGAATGCATCTAAACATGGCCGCCTGCTCATCTGTCCATCTGTCCGTTTACGCAGCTTTGTAGTATTTGCGGAGAACATGATGCTATCGCCTACACATTTGCAAAAGAATTTGGAATTGACGTAAACTTTTTAAAGGTCACGCCCACAATCCACAACTCCAGCATGCCTCTACGACAAAAACTTTTATTTTGAAAATAGAAGAAATCAAGTGCGCCCACTCCACCTTATAGAGCATGAGAAATATGTTCTTTTATTTCTTTTGTTCTCTTTTGAGGTAAACGGTGATGGGTATAAAAGATTCGGTGCCGACCGAATTTAAAATTTTTTACTTGTTTTTTTTTTTCAGTGCCTTCTCTAACACACAAAACAACCCGATGACATTTCTGGTTGGGGCTCCATGTTTATTCCTTAAGCCGAAACGATGACCGACGTTTTGTAAATAAATTTGCAAAGTGTGGATTTAAAGGTCACCGGATAATTTAAATCATATGATCCCACAACCACTGAATAATTAGTTAAGAAGTTAATTCTTTGCCTACTTGACTACTCACACGGATGGGAAAAATAAATTGCTGGTCTAGAACTGGGAGTAGTGTTCGTAAATATATTTGCTCTACTGTTTTAGGAAAAGTGACCAGTGACCTAATCGGTCTGTACAAGCTTACAACATTTACTGGCTTATTAGGTTTAGCCGCGATCATTATTTCTGCGCGTTTTCATTCGATTAATAAGTGATTCAATCTTAACATAGCCTTAAAAGTTAAAGTTAAAAGGATGAGATCCTCGGGTGGTGAAGATTTAATAGTTATTCTACTTCTTAACGTATAGTTTGCTCACCCTTCCTTTGACTTCAGCAAATGTCTTATGTCTGGTAGCCCGCCAAGCGCCATGAAACGTAGGCCGGCTAGAAATTTCAATGCGTCTTTTGCGTTTCAGGTCCAATAAAGTGTATTATACTGAAAAGTTTCTTTTTTGTTTTTTTAGACGATCGACCAAATTTTCGTTTTTCTCCACTTCATTTCCACACTATTTTCGGTACCTGTCTCTTAAAGGATCATTTCACTTGGTCGGTTGTTTAGGGTATGGGAAGCTCTCCATATAACACTCATAAAACATGCCTGAATTGACATGGATTAAAAAATTGTTAAGGTGTTCGTGTTTTATCTTAGCTTGACATAAGCGTAAATCCTTTGTAGCTCTATTTAAATTCTTTTTACTTAGAGGATTCCTACTGTTTTGTCGGTGTCTTCCTAATCTTCTCATGTTGCTGATCGTTCGCCTTGTTTCAAGACTATCCTAACTGTTATAATACCTAGGCTCGTCTCAAAATTTCTGGGAGTAGACATAAGAGCACCGTGACGAACACGATTTGTAAAATCTTCTATAGCATTATTAATGTCAGAGGAGTCTTGCAAATTCAGATTAAGGCGTAACTTGTTATAAATTCAATCGTAGCAGGTCTTAATATCAGTTTTACGATTGATGACGTCATATCTAACATAAAGACTTAAGATGGCCACAACTTCTTTGTGTGTCAATCGATTCGGGATCACTTTTTGAACTGATCTAAGCTTGCCTGTCCGACCGACGTCCACCTATACTAAACTTTAACCATATGGATTTATGTTCTGGATTGTTTTCCATTCCATATGAGCATTCTTATGACGAGTAAAACAAGAGGTAAAACGATTTATGACAAAAATAAATGAAGAATAATAAAATCTTTAAAAAGCAAATTAGATTTGTTAAATTTGGAGTACGCTAGTCCACGGCCTTGACGGCTTCTATATTATTATAAGAGCTCTCATGAAACCCACACGTCTTCACATGAATACCGACGGATTTTTGATGAATAAACAATTATCTAAAGAGAAGTGGTGCACGGTATCTAAATGTCGGCCTTGCCCAACTATAATATTTTCACTTGTTTGATTTTATTGTTGTTATAATCAATTGAAGTGAAACAACTCTCAAAAAAAGTTCTCAGGGCGGTTTTATTGTTTAAAAGCGACTGAATAATTTTTTTAAAGAAATATATGACTAATTATTTGAGTTTCTTTCTACTTAAACATTTGAATAACATTATGCAAGATTCAAGCGAGCGCACTTCTTTGCCCACTACCTTAGAAGAGGGGGGCGGCGCGAATAACAAATGACAAATTTATGAATCATTAATAGATAGAACAACGTAGTAAGCAATTTGATGAAATCGGCGAAGTCTCTCTCAGTACAAAGGTCGTAGAAGCGTACGACAGATGCAAAGAGACACTGAATTCATTCCACATGTGATAATGATTAAGTTATGATTCACTAAAAATTTGAAGCAATATTACAATATTTAATGTAAATGTGTACGAAGCAATCATGGTCGTGACAGTTATTTTATTTCCAAAACTATATTTTGCTTATATCCTTATTTTCAATACGATTGTTTGTGGTCGCCGCATGAATTGCAGCCCACATTATTAACTACTACTTGAGTTTCGCGCACTTACTTGCATTATATGAAAGTGTACTTCCATTGAAAAACAAGGATTTCCTTTAAAGTCACACAAGTCATTATACTTCATTCTTTATAATATTTCTGAATGTTTTTCGCACTATTATGCATAGGGTGAGAATGAGTTTTTTTTCTATAGATAGATGTAATATGCTTAGAAACAAACAATAATTGAAACAAGTTTCATTTATTATCCTACACTTTTACAGAATTTTCTCATTTAATCGTTGATATTCGCTATCTGTGAAGTGGCTGCAAGTTTTTGTACACTCGATAGCACAAGGGATTAGATTATATTTTTCAATGGTTTACGAATTTCTACGCATTTTCTATTTTCTATGCATCGAAATGTCTATTAAGCAAAGCGGAGTCGTGTCTCTCTGTCATTCGCTAGTTAATAGATATCACAATTGCGATCTCGAAACTTTTGTTGAGGGAGGTAGGTAAGTCGCAAAATTTTGTTTTGCAATTGTAGTCAGGTCCAATACGAAACTCAATCGAATCGGCCAACGATCCAGTTCAAAATTACTAGCATATTGGCAGAAACTTCCCCTTTTGCCTTAGTTATGAATTGAAGAGCTTGCAATGCAGATGTGATTTAACATTTTACTTTAACAGCCTTACTCTGCGCACTATCACCGACAGTTCAAAACCCCATATCTTTCTCCCAAACAGCTAAACAGCTGAAAAGCTGTTCTTGTTACTCTTTTATGCTATTTTGGTATTCTAGTGTTTAAACATAGATGTGAGGATTACAAAACTATGGCATAGTTTGTGATCTATTTTTCAGCACTGCGTTCTTATTATAATAGCAGAGGGTAGTGCAGCAGTGTAAAGAACAAATTTTGAAAAACTTAAGGATACGGTAAAAGGAAAAAGTGTAAAGCAAAATGGAAGACGAAATAATTACAATGTTTTTGTGTAATTTTGTGGAAAATGGGCAAAAAGAGAATAGTGTAAAAAACTTCTTTTTTTTTTTTATTATCTATTAATCAATTTTATTAGATTGCAGCGTAGAAGATTGTTGAAACATTTCAGGAATAAAAACGACCGGTTCCTGTTTCAAGATTCGGTTTTTATTCGGTTTTTTAGGTTTGTTAACACATTGCTATGGGATGTCATGAAGGATTTGTCACAACACGCTAGTCAAAAAACTTCTTTACCCTTCGGAGTTCGGGTGATAACTGCATGAACTGGATTTAAAAAATCCCATTCTTTTTTTCTTTTGCCAATTTGCATATAGTTTTTTTTTAGTGGTATTACTTTTGGCTCATGGATGGATGGCTCTTATCAAGAATTTATGACAAACAATTACTTAACTCTACTGACCCAGCCATTAGGGTATGGTTTGTGGGTTAAAAAAACTTGCTCTTTCAGAGTTTTCCAAAAATTTGTTAATAGGGGGTACAATCGAAGCAATTGACTGCACTCAACCTGAGACACTTGCAGAACACTATATACGAGAAGGAAGGGTTATTATAGTTGGAATATCGGAGCAATACGTTAATTAAATTTAAAGATGTATGTTGATCATATTTTTGTATTTTATTTAAAAAGTTTGCGATCATGAACTTGGACTTTTGCCAGGATCTTGCCATGATTCAGCTATATAGATTAACTCGAATATTCGCAAACAAATGGCTGTTAGGAGACTTGGGTTATCCGTTACAATTATGGCTAATGACCACCAATCAGTGTTTAAAAAAGCCCATCATCCAAAAGCGCGTAATAAAACTGAAAAGAGTTTTTCATTATAACCATGAAAATGCGCCGTACATAATGTATGCATGCTGCATTTTGCACAATACTATCATGGAAAGAGTAATTAATGGGGAGACAGAGTCAGAATCGACTGATTCTGCGCGCGGACCTACCACCAAGAAAAACAATTAGAACTATTATATAAACATATTGTAACGTATATAAAATAAAAAATTTCATTTCATGATAAGGACGTTTCACACAACTTCATATGAAAAAATTAAAAAAATATTTCACCAACTTCAAGTTATAAAAAAACACATTAAAAATTTTAATGCAAAAGAAAAAAAAAAAAAATTCAAAAAAATGCACATATAAAAAACTAAAAATAATTATACAACAAATTTCAATAAAAATTTCGCTTGACTTCGGTTAGACCTTTGACAGTGTCTACCAATGCTTTTTGTCCTTTTAGGTGTTCATTCCGAAATTTCTGCTCCTGCTTATCTCTTTTCTGATGTTCTTTTTTTTTTTTTTTTTTTTTTTTTTTTTTTTTTTTTTTTTTTTTTTTAAATAAAGCCGATAGCCTTAGATGCTAGTGTTTTATGACTTCAATCTTAGAATTCATTCCTCAGGCTAAATTAATTGTAATAATAATAATAATAATAATAATAAAAATTTTTATATAGTACAATAATGACCAACTGACTGACTGCAATTAAGGCTGCGAAAGTAATTAAAGCAAAGAAATACATTGCTGGAGATTAAATGGAATAGAATGCATTTGTGCGTATAAACCTACATAACAATACTGAATATGTAAATATTCTATACGCTTAAGTGCATCACGTCACCTCATTACGTAGACATAGAAATAATCAACCGCGTGAGAGCATATCATTCCATAATAGGAATGCAGTGAAGGCATTTAAAGCATTAAGGCACTAACCTGAATTCCTGTGTAGCTTGGAAGCTTTCGTCATCTGTTATGGAGAAAACGCAAAGGAAACCTTCTCCACTGCGAAAATAATTATCTCTGATGGCAGCATAATCTTCTTGGCCGGCTGTATCTAAAATATCTATTTGTACTTCTTCACCATCTAAAACCACCTAAATTGTCACCAGAAAAAGTTAAAAAAAAAAAAAAAAAAAAAAAGAAAAGAAAAAGGAAGAGAAGGAAAGGAATTTGCAAAATAAAAATAAATTAAACGTTTTCGATGGAGACATTTTTTATTACTGACCTTTTTTCTATAACTATCAGCTTTGGTTGGTTCATAATCCTCAACAAATTCATCGTACATAAATTGTAGTGTTAGAGCCGATTTACCCACACCACCGCTGCCTACCATTATCACTTTATGTAGTGCGGGTCCAGTTGTTGGCTTTTTACTCATCTTCTCGTTCTATATATGTGCTTTTGATTTCAATATTTTAATATATATTTATATATATAGATATATATATATATAGATATATATATATATAGATATATATGTGTGTGTATATAATATACGATGCGCTTGTTTGTATTGGTGTTTTATCGTTACAAATGGTTGTGAGGAAACAGATTATGCTACGTTGCTTAGCTATTAAGAAACAACTGAAGGAGGACCGAAGGGCGAGGATCAACAGTGAATGCAAAATGCTTGTGTGTTATACGATATACACACCACCAGTCGTTTGTGTTCGTTTAATTAACTGAAAAAAGAAAAAAAGAGAGAAGAAATGTAAGATGAAAATTATTATTAATAGTGCAATTAAACAGAAATTTCAAATATTTCCGCTACAAACAAGTGAAAGTTAGAAAATCTTTCTTATAAAATATATTTTTTTCCTTTTCCAATAACCGAACGCGAAAAAATGTGGCAAATGTGTGTGTACAAAGTCTTTATAAGTTATATCAAATTGAATCAATTCTATATAGGATTGAATTTGTACAAGGAATTCCAGACAGAGCGCGACAAAAGCAACGCTAGTAGTAGTGGGGCAATGCGATGTGCATTAAGTGCACTTTAGCCGCTGCTTTAGTTTATTCACTCTGCACTTCACATCTCGCTGATGCAGCGAGAGATTAAAAGCAATGCTTATACGTCGATGTAAGTAAGTAATAAGGACCCGCCGGACGAATAGCATCTGCTCACCTTTACTTGATACGTTTGCTTACATATAGTAAAATAGGACGGAGCTTTCCCGCCAACTGACTTTTCGGGGGTCCGAGTCGAAACCTTCCCGTATAGTATATTGGACATTGCAGTCCCTACACGCCTAGACTTCGTTATCAGGCATGGAATAGTTCTAAGCCTGATTTGTATGAAGCGATTAAAGCGTTAATTTTCATATCATAAAAACAATAATTAGATGAGTGCGTGATGAGTAATCTAACATGAATAGCCGACCAGCCGTTATCCAACACATATGGTTAAAAAACTTGTGTAATATAAAACATGCAAATGACTTTTAACCGTAAAGTAGATTTCATTTGCAGACAGAAGCCTGTTTTGTTTCGATTGCTACCGTGCATTTTGCATTAGACGATTAACTTTTCAAGAAAAAAGTAATCCAGCTTTTGCTTATGTCTCGCTTCAAGTGAACGTGTTTGCGAAAATATTATTCATTCAGATTGTTTTTAATTATGCATGTTAGTGTTTTATTTATATTCTTAATACATTGGCAAGCGCTTGTTAAGCTTGTTGTATGCGCGCATTTTTGGCACTTTGATTTTTTATGAGATACTTGAGAAAACATGTCCCTCCATTATCCTGCTTGGCTTTGCTTAATTCTAAAGCAGCACTTTCATTAAACATTGGGATCTACTATGTTGTTCTATTTAAGTAATTTCGCATTCGCTCTCTCGAAAACACCCACGCACACCGAGTTCATTCATCGATACTGAAGTTTTCAGTTTTTGTTTCCCAATTTCGGCATCCTTTTATTTGCATAAGTGAGCAGTTGCCGCCATCGATTTACTATTTTCGTTAGAATTCGTTTAACACACTGTTGCGTTACAATTCCTTTAAAAATGATTATAAATACGTTGTCCGAAAAAACAACGAATCGAAACCATTTCGGATCGAATCATTTTTAACGAGGTCATTTAATCGGTCAACAGTACAGAATACTCAATTCTTATTCGGCAAAGAAAGAGAAAGAAAAAGGTGAAAAACATATACATATATATATATATATATACACTTCAAACGTGCAAACGTATTAAAATTGAAACAGTCCAAACATGTCGGACTTTAGTCTACATTCAACAATAACTCGACGACTTCACCAAATTACCAAGTCCATGGGGAAAGCTATGAAAGAATCAAGTGGAAAATTTCATGCATTGGTGGAAGTGGGTAGGTAGGTAGTATCTCAATTGGCTCTAAGGCGCATAACATAATAAGGAACATGACCCTTTCTCCCGTGTTTTATCAACACGCTTCCCGTACCTGCCGTATTATTGGTGCCCTCAATTTTCTTTCAATTGTATTGAAAGTTTAACCCTTAAATCTATACTATTGCCATCTGTCTGCATTCATTTAATGTAACGATTTAACGATCTAGAAAAAAACATTATGCAAAGGATGCTACATAAAGAGAATGTATGAAGTTTTATATATAACATTGTAACTCTACATCGCCATACATTTAAGCGTTAACTGCAGTTTCAGAAAAAGGTTTTTCAAAGGCACAGTAATATTACTTTTAATACTTAAAATTTTGCCGGTTCTACCGAAGCCGAAGCAAAAGCTTCTCGCTCATCCCAACAAATAAACTTGGAGATATATATAGAAGATTTATTATACTGATCGATATCTCCTTTCTTTTTTATACTTCGCAGCACTTGTTGCATAAGAACAAGGTGGGTGCGGATATAAGCCCGCCTTCGCTTGTCTGCCCGTCTGTCCGTCTTGTTTTATTTTCTTTAACAGTCAGCTCGTGATTTTTGAGATATTCGAAATGAATGAATTGCGGTACAACAGTATGTTTTGGGCCAAGGAAAAAAGCGTTGTGCGGATTGGATCATTTTTTCGATCATTTCTTGTATAATGCCTTATTTTGAAAAGTTATATCAATAACTGTATAAGCGAAATAGTGAGACGTGTTCCACTATAGTGGTTTTACTTCTATATAAGTCTGTGTTACTTACAATTATTATTGGCAGGAAACAAAATATACTAAATGATCCCATTTCTTTCAAAAAATCCCAAAAAAATTATTAAGGGTGTGAAGGTGAATTCGAATTTTACTTGCACAGACTCTTACCAACTCTCCGAACAGAGCTTTGGCAAGCTAGGAGCTAGGTATGGTTGGACTTGGATGCCTATTCCATCCCAATTACAAAACGTAAGATATCTTTGTGGGTACCGCATGAAGCTATAGCCAACTGGCCCAACCTTTCGAAGAGGGTAAACAAATTTAAAATAAACTTGTTTTTCAACAGATTTTTCAATTTTTTGGCATAAATAGTTTCGAAAAGTTGAGTTTGAATTTGGTTAGCTTGTTTGAAGGGTGTTTTCTTATTTCGCCAAGCTAAAGTTATAAAGTCTACGTACCAAATTTTTAAAATTTAAATCTCTGTAAGTCGTTCGAAACATATTTTCATATTATAGATTCCAAATATATCCTTCCAATCCTAACTACACGCTAGAGCTCTGTTAGGGTAAGTAGTGGTTGTCTTTCCCATTGAAATTCCAATGAAACCTCACGCCCTTAACATAATTTGTTTTTTAGTGAATAATAATTAATATTGCTTAAAGCTTCTTTGAACATTAATTACTATTTCCTTACTATTTTTTAGTTCCAAGAAAATGTTAAAAAACACTCTCTTTTAAAGTTGCCTCATTAATTGAAATCTTGGACCGAAACCAGCAAGGGATTAGCGCGATCTAAATACATTAAAACGCTTTGATTCTCTTTTTTGGCCGCTAGAGATTTAGATTTCGTTTTTTACATTGCTTTAGGGAGAAAGTGGAAATTTTTTTTAACGGAAAGTAAGTTAACACAACATTTTTATCGCTTTCCCATGCGTTAAAAAAAGTTGCTATGACAAATTTTTCAACATATGCATATGATTTAGAGACACTATTACACAGTTTTTTTTGTAATTCGTAAAATGTGTCCATGCAGGCAACTGGTCTAAGTAAAGAGCTTTGTAAACTACCAAAAAGCAGCAAAGCCAGTGACCAATGTTACACAATTGCTCCTCTACGGTGTGCTTAACAACATTTCTGCTAAACAACGACTTATTTTAATTTATGAATCAATATGGATGAACAAATTGTGGCAAATCGTATGACTATTTTTGGCAAAAGAAAAAAGTAAAAAATAAAAATGAAATTAAAAAATGAATAACAAAAATGAATGAGGTAACAAAAAAAAAGGAAAATACAAATTTTGCAAAACGAGTCCAATGAACTTTCCAATCCTATTCAAATGCTTCATTTTATTTATCAGCTGAACAAAACAACGATCTTAGAGAAAACAAGTGAGAAAATTATATTCGATTATAATAAATGTGTCCACCATTTTTATTTAAAAAAAAAAAAAAAAAAAAAAAAAAAAAAAAAATCAAAATTCGGCAATTATAATATTGGGTGGACAAGGCTGCTTTTCCCATTTCGAGAGTATGCTTGAAAATCTATGTTATCTGTTTATCGTAATTTATGGGTCGTAAGCAGAAAACTAAAGAGGAGAGGATTTCTCAGTTAATGTGTTAATGTTGCAGAATAGGCGTCAGTCCTCTGACTGATTAAGCCCCTTTGCGATACCATTTACGGTAAATTGACAACTGGCAGCGTCATTTTTGCCGCCAGGAGCATATTTAGCATAAACGTACAGGCGGACGTACTTAAATCAATTCAGAATTCGAGACTGATTTGGATACTTGTGCGGGCGTAGCCGCTAAATCAGAAAATTCCTCTACAAGGGAAATATAGAAATAATTTTTGAAAAAAAACGCTTTGGATTAAATTTACATCTAGAAAGGGAAAACCGGCAAAGATCTTTGTAAAAATGAAATGATTATGCCAAACAGAATGGATTTGTTAGTTTCGTGTATTCGAAAATCCTTTTTCTAAACATCTTATCCTGTGAACACATTGAAAATATTTGGAAAATAAACATTTTAACTTCACTACGGCAGCTGGATTAACCATCTAGTCTAAAATCAAATTGTTCAATTAGAATAATATTTTTCCTCCTTTTTCTCCTTTCAAACTTCTTACTCAGAGAGCTTAAGGGACTAGTACGGATAATCAACGTTGACATCATTTGGTAATGTGGCCGGCTTTGAAATAGAAATAATTTGGTAAAATATTGGATTTTTCCATTGATGCATTTTTTAATTACGCAAGTGGAAGATCACGTACCTGCATGGGATATATTTCTCTAAGCAATATTTTCAATGTCGTCTAAGACGAAAAGCTTGCTTAGGCGTGTTCCACGTGCCAATGACATCTAACCACGTCATCATGTAATCCTCCTCCGAGACATGACGTGAAATTGGGTTCAGCCAAGCTACTACACAATTAATCATTGACCCTCTGACAGAAGCGCTTAACTTATACGAAATTTTATCACTTTTTATAAATGTTTCGGTGAAGGCTTATGTTTGTGCGTGAAGCGTAAAGTGTAACGTTTCGAAACTTAGGTAAACATAGATATTAGCAACTTGGCTGCAATATGACTTTGGTGAATCTCTTTGG